AGGTTGTGCCTGCGCCCTGATGATAGACCATCTGTCATGTTAATTACTGTGTAACGGTGTGTTTTTCAGTTAAACTGTTTCCCGAACTGATGTAGTGACATGGGTATACTGTTGTGTGTGTTTTCAGTAGATCAAATTTCCTAACACTTTAATTAAGTTGGTACTTGATTCTGTGGAGAAGACTCTGCTGAAGTTTGACTACGTGTATTTGCCTTTTTAAGCAGAGCTGCAGCATAGCTGTTTGTAATGGTAGTTTGAATTTATTTTTATCTTGAAAGTGCATGACCAGGATGGGATTTCTGCAGATGCTGCATGCAATCGGGAAGTGTGAGCACGTGTTATTAAAACACCTCCCCTCCTTCTCTGCCCCTCTCTCTTTTTCAGCTTTCTGAAACGAAAGTCTTCACCGCTTCCTCTGTCCCAGCTGAGAATCACGTGACTCCTGGGCAAAGGTAAGCTCTTATTCCATGTTTTCCCTATGCTTTAAAAACCTTCTGCTTGATTAAACGATGTTAACTTGCACACATAAAACACTGAATTAAACCTTGGTCAGAGATTGGTCAAAGTCATCTCAAAATTGCAAAAGCCTTGCTTACAAATTGTTGGTTTTATGAGTTCCTGAGTTTAACTATTTTTTACTATGGAAGTGGAGACAAACTTGCCAAATTTATGACCGTAATACTTCTTCTGCATGAAACCTGCTTACAGACAGGAACAAATGTAGCTGGGAAAAAAAGTTTTCTGTTGTTGAAAAGGAAGCTCTGGCTTTGGTGTCCAGAAAATGAGAGGCCTGCCCCTCTAGATGCAGAAAGTGTTCAGAACATGGTGCTGAAAAAATGTGTTAACATGAAAGCTTGCATTGGCATAAAGGTGAATTTCCTTGTAAACATCACAATTATAGGCCTTTACTGATGGTAGAAAGTTAAGATCAAGAACCAAAAATAAATCAATTGCTGCCTTCCTTTGCTTGCCTTTGTCTTCAAATGCCTGTCTTGTGGTGATGTGGAATCAGTTGCCTACATTAGCCTCTGGTTCCTGGAGAGCAGGTTAATGTTGAGTGATGAAGACTTTAGCAATGGCATCGCATGAGATCTGAAAACTAAATAGCCTAATGGTCCCAAACATCCTGGTACTGTTGTAGTACAGCAGAATTTTCTATATAATAGGGATGTGATTTGCAAGGTGCATGATGTCAGGTGTACTATAGTTCATATTCCTGTCTTTCTTAGGGGTAATATGCTCACATGTTCATTGCTCCATTCTTCCGGTGGATGTCCCTCAAATAATGTTAGAAAATATTTTAGTTCATCCACTCAGATAGGGGTGGGTTTTTTGTGTTTGTTTCTTGCTGTCAAAAAAGTCTCTTCTGTCACTTTTGTATGGCGGATAAGCAACATTGGAAAAGACTGTTATTAATAATTCTGTTGCTGGGATGGCAGCTTTAGTATTGTTCATGCTTTCTTAAGTGTCAGTGCAGTTTAATGATCATGTTCATTACAGCCAAATTTCGCTTTGTTTTACAGCATTGATTTGGTGACACTGCTTCAAAAGCCAGTGACATCTACCCAAGAGACAGAAGGCAACTCATTTGAAGCTTCTCAACCTCAGACCTTTGGCCAAGCCTTAGTATTCACAAATTCTCAGCACAGCACACAGATGGCATCAGGAACTGGCAGCTCCAGTGCTGTAAACTCTTATTCTCCTCAAAGTCTGGTAAAATGATCTTATGCTTTCTAAGTATTGTTCATAAGTAAATATTTCAGGTTAAACAACTTTTCTAGTGCTGGTCATTTCATGAGGTGTTCAAGTATTTGTAAAATTCAGGTTGCAAATGAAGAATTCCATTCCTTCCATTCACCACCACCCCCCCAATATTATTTTTTCATTTTGCTAAGTAGTTTTTTCTATATTTACATGAAGTAATTGTATTAATTTTTGATTAGAGAGCAGATGTGTTTGTTGCTTGCTGATGTAGGATAAAATAATTTGTTTATAGTGAAGAGCTGAAAGCCAGAAAACTGGTGGGTTGTTTCCAAGCACATATTTGACTGCTTTTTATGGAAGCATGCCTATTTCTGAGTCAGTTGTGAGGTGTGAAGTTGGGCATTTATTGTCTGAAAATCGGTTCAACTATTAGTAAATATATGCTATTTTTAAGATGTGTGGGTTCAAGTAAATTAGTATTATTGCAGTTACAGTGGTGGAAGTTTTTACTGGTCATTTGGTAGTAATCTAGGTGTAAAGAGATTTTAGTTGCTGCCAAATAGCAGCAATTGACCCTGTGATTATGTTCCAATTAGTAATTAAAAAATTCACTTCTTCCCCTCTTCTTTTTTGTCTTCTGGTAGTCTGCAGTTCTTTGTTCTGGCTTCGGAGAACTCAGATCCTCTAAACTGGCAAACTCTACTGGTTCCCAAATCTTGGACCAGTTGAAATCTCCAGGATTGGGTCAGTTTACCTCTCAACAAAACAACAGTAATTCTACCACCACTAGCACAGCTGCAGCATCATCCTGGGATCTAAAACCACCTATTACTCAGTCCTCAGTCCTCAGTCAGTTAGGTAAGTGCTTTGGCATAGCTTTTTTCCTCTTTCTCTCTTAGCCCGGAAACATGTCTTAATGACAGTGACAGTTTAAAATGGCTTTAACCGAAAGACTTCTTCTAAAAAATGTAATCTAACTAATACAATTACTTACAACATTGTAAGAGTTACACTTAGTTGCTGGTAATGGACACCATCAGTATATCACAAACTAAGTATTGATAGGCTTAAGCCTATCCATAAATGTCATTACATCTTTGAAGTTATTGAGCCTTCCAGGTAATTACATCTTTGATTTAGTGTGCTTGAATATTTAAATGGAACTTTGTTGTGACTAGTTTTCAACAAAGACTGGAAAAGACTTATTTTCATTGTACCTCTGCTGCTTCTAGCTGAGCGTAAAGTTGTATTGTGTTTTTGCCATTTCTTTTCCCCCCACATTTTCTCTTCTAACCCTTACATGAATTTTGAATGAGTACTGTATAATCTCTTCATAATGCATGTCTCAGTATTTTTTTCCCTAGCGTGCTGAGAATGATTCAGGTTACTTGTTTTGTCTATTCATAATTGTATGAATTTTTCATGTAATTTAATAAAATTGTACAAACAGTGAAAATGATGGAAACTTGGTTTTTGCAGTGTTGTTCCTAGCAGTATTCTCACTGTGAGAAGGTAGCTCTTCTATCTCTCATGTGTATGTGTACATGTTTATGTATAGATAACCAGCCAATTTTGTAGCAATTACTATCTTTGACAGGCAGAAATTCTGGAAAAAAAAGTTTATGTACATTTTAAGTTGCTTTCTAAAGGACTGTGCCAACCAAAAAAAAAACCTGCATACTGCAAATGCTGTAGATCTGTTATGGTTGTTGACCAGTGCTCTGGGCCACTTCATGGCTTTCAGCATCTGAAAAATATGAAACGGGAAGACTTGGGAAAAACCTGTCAATGTCCAGCACCTCTGACTCTCGGCCATTATGGGATGGTAGATGACTTTCTATTTGTTTTGAAAATCCCCTCCTTTGTAAGGACAGGGAATCCTAACTCACAATACTTCTAAATCGCAACTTTTTACCTCTTGGAAGTAATCAATTTTATCAGCACAGTTAATTACAGTGAAACTTGCAGTGTTTGATTAAAATAATCCATAACAGTTTTTGAGGATTGTGTCGATAGGTTTGTTTTCATATTTTTTGGGGAAAGCTAAATAATACTTGCCCACAGCTGTTTATTTAGAGTAGAGGATATCAAGTATTGTTGTTATAGTTACAGTGGTAATGTTCAATGTGAAACTTGTGTGATCTCTGAAAGAGACTTGCACATGCTATAAAATCGTAACTTTTGAGCATGTCAGGTCACCCAGATTCTTCCATAAAGAGTAGAACAGTGAAGAGCAGAGTTCGGTGCTTTAATTTTGATATTTCTTTTTCCCAACACTGACCAGACTTTAAATCCCAACCTGAACCATCCCCAGTTCTGAGCCAGCTGACCCAACGACAGCAACAACAAATACAGGTGGTTCCTGTTCCTCCTCCTGGGCTGGAGTCCTCCTCCTCCCAGGTAAAACTCCGAGAGCCATCACCAGTAGACACCTCTACAGCTGTTAGCAAAATATTGCAGCTTCCCACTATATCTATGGATAACCAGGCAGTGACTGTCCATCAAACCCAGCAGAAACAGATAAAACCACCAAAACGGAGGATAACTCCAGCATCTAAGGTGGGTAATTGGATGGTGACTTGTGCTTAGTAGATATAAAAACATAGAAGAATTTGTATTAGCAATACAAGTGTGGGCAGCAGGACCAGGGCAGTGACTGTCACATGTACTGGGCACTGGTGAGGCCGCACCTTGAGTGCTGTTTTCAGTTCTGGGCCCCTCATGACAAGAAAGACGTTGAGGTGCTGCAGTGAGTCCAGAGGGAGGGCAATGGAGCTGGGGAAGAGTCTTGAGCACAAATCCTACAAGGAGCAGCTGGTGAAGCTGGAGGTGTTTATCCTGGAGAAAAGGAGGCTCAGGAGGGACCTTATAGCTCTCTACAATTGCCTGAAAGGAGGTTGTAGCCAGGTGGGAGTTGGTCTCTTCTTCCAAGTAGTAAGTGATAGGACAAGAAGAAATGTCCTCAAGTTGCCCCAGGGGAGGTTTAGATTGGATATTAGGAAAAATGTCATCACTGAGAGGATTGTCAAGCACTGGCATAGGCTCTACAGGGAAGTGGCGGAGTCACCATCCCTGGAAGTGTTTAAAAGATGTGAAGGTGTCCTGCTTAGGGACATGGTTTAGGACTTGGCAGTGCTGGGTTTAGTAGTTGGACTCGATCCTAATGATTGTCTTTTCCAACGTAAATGATACTGTGATGCTGTTCAGTATATATTGTATATAAATTGCTGGGGAAAAGGAGAGCAAAGACCTTGGTATATTATATGTTTATAAAGCAGGAAATCCTAAGTCATTACATCCAAAATAGAGTGATGATGTCTTTTCCAAGCACACATCTGTTTTGCTCTGTGTGGAAAATGACTGAGTGATTTTTAGATTGACTTAATAGCCACAATATGAATATTGTCTGAGGGGGAGGGATGTACACAGATGACACTTATATACTATAGAATAGTATGGTTTACTCTTTCAGCTTCAGATGAGGGCAGAATCAATGAATTAATTCCAGGTTGCAGGGATGTAGTTACTTTATGTAGTATAAACTGTTGTCACAGTTTTAGTTAGCAGCATAGGTTGAGGCAGTAACTGAAAAGACTGTAGCTAAAGAGAGGAGAGGGTGTCAGTTACTGATATTATTAAATGAGAAGTTGCATGCAAAGGTATCATGGCTTTTTTTCTTCCTTTAAGATTCCTGCCTCTGCAGTGGAGATGCCTGGATCAGCAGATGTGACAGGGTTAAATGTTCAGTTTGGAGCTCTTGAGTTTGGATCAGAGCCTACACTCCCAGAGTTTGGATCAACTTCAAGCAGTGAGAATACCAACCAGGCGACCAACAATAGCTTATACTCAAAATCTGTGAAGTATGTGTGAGTTCCCCTCCTGCATTTGTCTTCTCGAGGGGGTCAAGTTTGTGCCAAAAACATCAAGACATGGTTACAATGTAATGGGAGGGGAAAATGCGATGAATTGTAATGCTAAGTGTTTTCTGTGGATTGCATCTTAAAATGAGAAATTTCTTCTCTAGTGATAATCAAAATCTCCCTGGATTGGGTGGATGTGAAGATGGAGATGACATGAATATAAATAACCTTATAATAAGCTACCCTTTATAGAAATGCTTTCTCATGTTTAGTTGCTCTGATTTTCAGATTTGTTTGAGGGTTTGTTCCTCGCAACCCACATTTTTCTCTGTTTGATCCAGGAGAATTGACCTTTGTACCATATAGGTGTATCAGTAGATTGGCATCAGATTACAGATCTGATGCTCCTATGGGATCAGAAAAGAAGCCAGTCTGTCAGTATGCCACAGCTCTTACTGAAATGCTAAAATAACCAATGATGAGTCCCAACGTACCAGTAACCCATTTTTTCATCCTTTTTCAAAAATTGGCATCAGTTAAAAGCTTCCTGAAGTTAGTTAAGAAATATTAATAAAAATAAAATTTCACATTAATTTCTAGTTTTATACATGATTTAAACTATTTGGAAACTAAAACATTCCTGCATATTTTTAAGTATTTTTTTCTCTTTGCATAATTCTATCTGCAACATTAGAATTCTAATGTAAAGAGACTGTGTGTTTCTCATTATATACCAGACTTCATCGATCTGCTTGTTTAAAAAAGAGAGATTATGAATATTAATTTATCTTTTGAGAAAGTGGAAATAACATGACCAAAAGTGCTTATGTGTAAACTCTTGTTTTGGTTGGGCTGGAATGAGGAGGTGCTTAATGTAGCTGATGTTTTGAAGCAGTGATTAGTAGGGACCAAAGCAATATTACACAATTCTAAAAAAATTATTTCATTGTCTAGTATAAATAATGTAGATTTATCTGCATGTCTAAGGTAGTTCTGGATAACTTTGTAGGAGCTGATACTTTCACGAGGGTATTTGAGATACTTACCAAGATGATAAATAATTTTTACTTTTTCCAGTGATCCTTTGAATACCTCTTTGCCAATATCCAATACAGTACAGGAGTCCACCTACACAACCTCTGCCATCAGCTCTTCCAGTCTGACCTGCTCATCCCAGAGCACTAGCCCAGTAACAACTTCCTCCTATGACCAGACTTCTGTGCATGGTAGGATAGCGTACCAAAGCTCCATGGCTCCGTCAGAACCAACTCCTGTGGCAGTTACGGTGAGTCCAGTTCAGAAATAATGTCTTGAAAAAGGGGAAATGTTCTTACCTGTGTTAGGCTTGCATTACACTGGTGTGTTAATGTCTTAACCAAGCCAAGTGGTATTTTTGGTTTCCCGAGCCCAACCACCTGCTTGTTTTTGCTTCTCCTAGTGTGTAGTTGGTTTTGGCAATACTGTGTTTGGGATATAAGAGCCTCGGATTTTGTGGCTTTTGGCATCTTAAATTTTCTTTCGACCTTTTTTTTTTCTTTATTAACACATAAGGTTCTATTTGAGTTTCCTTCCCTAAAGCTTAGCTTTTAAAAGCAGAACTATTTCTAAGTAAATATTAGTCATGGTATTTTGCCATAACTTGACTATTTCTATCCAAAGGTGTATTATTTATTAACTTTATATGGCACCTAGCAAATGGATCCCAAACTTTTTTTGGCCCCTCCAGCATTACTTTTCTGTTGGATTTGAACACCAGTGGGATTTAATTACATGTGTTATTTTAATAAGCATAAGGAGAGGTCTAATACAGGACAGAGAGAATCTCTCTTGGGAGATTCAAAAACATCTACTCTCTATGTATATGGAATGTAGGTTTGTTTTAAGAGGACTTAATTTATTAAATGTTTAAGCAACTTGTGAGAGTTTGTAAGTTTATTTACTTCTGGCCTTTGTTATGTGTTGGCTCAGTCACACTTGTCTTCTGCACTAGCTCGTATGTACTGGTGAGGATCAAGCATAGACTATCCACTTCTGTACTCCAGCGTTACCCAAAAAACAACTGGTGCTTCTCAAGTCTTATCTTTCAATGGAAAAAAATTGGCGTCTCTGTGTAACTTGGATAGTTAAAATTGTGAGTTGCATTAGATCAAAAGCACAACCATTTCCTATATGTTAATGCAATTCTTTCTTTCATATTGGTGTGAACCTGAAGTTTATGTCATATACAGTACATGGGAAGGTCTGCTGCTGATGGGTGCATTATGGGCAGTGGATGGGATTCTGTGTGTTGAGGACACCTTGCACTTGAGACAACTTTATTATGTGGTTTTGTTAAAGGCAATAAAAATTTAATTTTCTGCCTTGTCGTTCAATTTAGAATGAATATAGAATTTTGCATGAAGCATGTTGGATGTGTGATTCAGTCTGAAAATGGAATGTACCTCTAAGATGATTTATTCATTTGTTTCTCCTTTGCTTACAGAACGGGCACAGCAGTGTTAGAACACAGGCAACTCTTGACAGTAAGTTTACAAAGCTTGGTTGTGCACAGTACTTTCTGATCTTTCATTACTACTTGCTGGGTACACAGGTGTAGCAGTGACACAGGCTTAAGGTTTTATATTGTTCTCCATGACTAATTTATGGTTGACCTATTTGAGTTTATTTTGTGCTTGCACAGGATATACTGCTTGCTTCTTGACTAAAATTGAAGTATGAAAGCAGCTCTATTAAATCTACAAACCCCTAACCAGCCTCAGAATTAGAGAAACTGCTTTGCTGCTGCTTTTTCTTTTGAATTTGGCTGCCAGAAATTATTTAATTTAAAATAAAAATACGAAATTAAAAATTAATATAAATATAAAATATAAAATATAAATATAAAATATAAATATAAAGTTGGGAAGCTGTGACTAGTATTTAGCTGTAATGAAACAAAGTCACATTCTTTGAGTGTGCCTCTCACTGGGTATGGTGACACCCGTGCCCTGTTAGAAGCCCATGGGGATAAGGGTGAAGGACACGTTCCCTCGGCTGGTACCTGGATGCCTTGAAACAGTACCTCAGTACTGACTCTGGTACGGGTGTTACTGTTTCTCCATCTTGGCCTGTTTCTAATGTAGTAGTGACCCCTGCACCCCTACAGCTCTCTTGCTGGAGTTAAAATAATTTAGGTATAGTGTTCACTCTTCTGACCTTTATGTGCTGCTCTGTGGAAGTTTTCAAGGACAGCAGTGTGAATTAGCATCTTTTGGAATTCCAGCACCTCAATTTTAGGTCCAACCTCCTCTTAAGCACCTCTTCAGGTGCATCATTAGTGGGATGGTGTTTTGTTAGTGCCAAGTTCAAAGAGTCACCATGTAAAAGACTGACATATATAAAGACAACTTTTCAAGTGGAAAACTTTCTTACTTTCCTGTACAGAATTAATAAACAATTTATGAAATTCACTACAGGACTTATCTTTTTGCTACAGAAAAGAAAGATCTGGGAATTCCTAATATTTTTGAAACTGTTCTGTAATGGCTTTATTAGTCTCTTTTCCTGTGCAAGTTCTCTTTTGAGTACCTTTCTGCATTTTTCTGTATTTCAAGCATATAAGTTGGAATCAGTCTTCTGTCATTGTCTGTTTCATGCCTCCAAGTGATATTGAATTTCTCTCCTAACTATTGAAAGTACTGAACTTTTGCCTTCTGTATGTTGCTATAATGTTCTTAGTTGTTCATCTCTCAACTGTTGTTCTCCCTAAATATCCAGATCTCCTGTTTCCTAAACCCTTAGTTCAGAGCCTGAGTGATGTGTTATAACTCTGACATCCTACTCGTCTCCTGGTTTTCTTTGTCTTGCACATTGTGTTCAGGCATCTTGTAAGGGGTCTTAAGATGGTGATTCCATCCCTTGAATTGAGGGCATCAACTTAAACTTCAAAAAGGGAACCCTGCTTTAAATCTATTGAGAGTTTTAGACGTTATCTACTCCTTTTTTAGTGTAAATATTGCTGGGAGGTATCAGGTGACATAGTTGCTGCCTTCATAACTATGTTTATCACTTGGAACTCAATTTTCTGTCATACTTATTGCCAAAGCAAAGACCTCTTGATTTCTGTTTGCATTGCAACCCAGCAACCTGACTTGGGTCATTTAGCTAGGAAATCAAACCAATAAATTAAACAAACTGATGTGTAACTTCCAAGTGTGTATTTGACTTTTCTTTGGTGACCAGTCTAAAAATGTCTTCACATGCCTTGCAAGGTCACGATGATCCACTGAGGAATGGTCTCTGGTGTGGTATGAAAGCCTGGCCCAGCAGAAGGCAGGGCTCAACTGCTTTCTGAGTTTTATTGGTGGCTGAGTGCCTCGATCACCAAGGGTGCTGTGGGCTAGAATGAAGAAACAGAGCTGTAGCTAAAACTAGATTTGTACAGTGCCTTGAAAAGGCACAAATGACTTGTGTTTGCCGAAGCAAAATCAAGGAATTTAGAAATTACTTGTGAGCAAAAGCTAATAATCCAGATAGTG